GGCGCGGGAGCAGGTGGTGCTGGGGAGCAGGGGCCCAGCAGGTGCAGGCAGAGGCCCTGGGGCTGGGGGCCCAAGGGGAGGACCCCTGTGCCCAGGAGGCGCTGCCCTCACCGTCCACCTTCATGTCCAAGTCCTGCTGGCTGGAGACTGAGTCCTTGGTCGGCTTCCAGGCCTTGGAGCCCAGGCAGCACTCCACGGGCAAGGTCGTGGTGGAGGTCATCCCTGCAGGGTGAGAGCTGGCTGACGGCTTCCCCAGGCCCTGGGTGGGGCAGGCCTTTTATGCCCTTTCTTTTCTTGTTAATCCTCACCCAAGGGTATTTTTCCATTCATTTTAGAGAGCATGGAAGAGAGAGGGAAAGACAGAGAGAAATATCAATGTGAGAGAAACACATCGATGGATTGCCTCCTGCACGCGCCCCTGACCAGGGTCTGGGCCATGGAGGAGCCTGCAACCGAGGTACGTGCCCTTGACGGGAATCAAACCCAGGACCCTTCGGTCTGCAGACTGATGCTCTATCCACTGAGCCACACCGGCCAGGGCCTTATGCCACTTCTCTCTCTCTCTCTCTCTCTTTCTTTTCGTCCTTTTTAAATTAATTACAGAGAGAAAGGGAGAGGGAGAGAGAGAGAAACATCAGTGATGAGAGGAATCATGGATCGGCTGCCTCTTGCACACCCCACACTGAGGATGGAGCCCATAACCCAGGCATGTGCCTTGACCGGGAATGGAACCGTGACCTCCTGGTTCATAGGTGGATGCTCAGCCCCTGAGCCCCGCCGGCCGGGCTCTCTGCCATTTCTCTATAAACCTCAGCTGAGAAGAAAGACGACTTGTCTCTGTGGCCGCAGGGGCTGAACCCTGGGGATCAATTCAAACGCGATGGCGGCTGCTGCCCACACAGCGCGGCCCCCACAGCACGCCGGGCACAAGGGAATGTCTGCAAACCGGCGCCCCGCCTCCCGGGAGGTCAGGTCCAAGTGCCCTTCTGCAGAAATGGCTCCGCTCAGGGTCCCGCCGAAACCTGCCCCCTCCCGCCAGAGCCTGCTTCCTCTGAGCCTTTGGGGCCCTAATTGACCAGCCCTGTGAGCACACCCCCCCCATCCACCCCACACCCGCACCCAGGACCCGGGCCCCTGCCCTTCCCATGACCTGCCCACAAGTCATGCTCTCCGAGGCCCTGGCCCTGAGGGGGTACCTAGAGCCGGGATGGCGGGTGGGGTCCTGGCTGAGACCCACCATCGCCACGGGGTGTGGGGAAGGGGAGCCACCGGGGCCTGAGAGAGACCGCAGGTGGGGCGGTGCCTGCTGCACGGAGGTCTGCTGTGCCCCCCCCCCACT